TAGGGCGATAGAAAATATAGTTTGTACAGTATAAAAACCATTACGCCTATGGAGAATCCCCATAAACTATAAAAACTAACCTGTGTGTGTGTGTGTGTGTGTGTGTGTGTGTGTGTGTGTGTGTGTGTGTGTGTGTTAACCCTCGTCTTTTTGACCAGTAAACATTCTGTGAGACCAGCTTATCCTCGAAAAACCCGCTAACAGTATCAGAGCGGAACACCACCGCCACCTGCTGGACCATTAGAGCACCAAATCACCAGCGGGAAAAACACCGAACATCACGGCTGAGTTTTTCTGAAAATTCAAAGCGAGCCTAGCTTCCAGGAACCACTTGTACATTTACGGTCACAAACAGATTAACAGAAAATAAAAGAAAAAAAGAATGTGCAGATAAAACACACACACACACACATACAAAGGTGCCCTTTAATTATCAAATATTAGTCTGCTATATTTTGATAGTGTAATGGAAAACATTCATTTTTGCAAAGGAAATAAAATTCTTTTGAAACTTTAAATGAAAATGTGACGAAAACATTCGGTTTCAATAACTCCAGCGTGCTTGAGACAATATGAGAGTGAATTCTTTGTTCAATAAAATAGTTTCATATTCATACTGCTAATTACATGGTTTGCTATTATTCAGATTTAATAAGGCATAAGCAAATAGACTTTAAGCCCCAGAATCTGTCAAAATAAAAACTCATTATCAGAAATATGTTTGCATTCCCAAAACAAAGAGAAGATATTTTTAAAAAATGCTAGATATTTCACCTTTTTTTTTATTTCACTACATCTTTTACTTTTCAACTTGTAGTTAACAAATTCTTTTGAAACTTTAAATGAAAATGTGACGAAAACATTCGGTTTCAATAACTCCAGCGTGCTTGAGACAATATGAGAGTGAATTCTTTGTTAAATAAAATAGTTTCATATTCATACTGCTAATTACATGGTTTGCTATTATTCAGATTTAATAAGGCATAAGCAAATAGACTTTAAGCCCCAGAATCTGTCAAAATAAAAACTCATTATCAGAAATATGTTTGCATTCCCAAAACAAAGAGAAGATATTTTTAAAAAATGCTAGATATTTCACCTTTTTTTTTATTTCACTACATCTTTTACTTTTCAACTTGTAGTTAAAAATAACAAGCTGCCATACATGTTCCGTTCAAAAGTTTGGGGTCATTGCGTTTTTTATTTAGGCTATGTACAGTATTTATACGATTTTTTTTTTTATTATTCATTAAGGACACATTAATTCTATTCCATCTCCTTTTTTACTTTCTATTATCAAAGAATCTTGAAAACACATATCAGTTTCCACAAAAATAGGCTATTAAGCTGCACAACTGTTTTCAACATTGATCATAAGAAATGTTTCTTGAGCACCAAATCAGCACATAATGGATCATGAGACACTGAAGACTGGAGTAATGGCTGCTGAAAATTATAAGAATAAATCACATTTTAAAATATATTAGAAAACAGTCCTTTTTAAACCGTAATAACGGCATAATAATATTATAGTCTTTACTGTTTTTGATTAAAAATAAGACTTATTCATGAAAAACATAAAATCCTCTTGCCTTTTGAACAGTGTACATATAGAAACTATCACACAAATAACAATAAACAATAAAATACATTTTTAAAAATGAGAATTGATTTTGAAATCGGGTGTATGAGCCCTCAAACACCCCTGGAGAAAGAATAGTCAGTTTGTCAATTACTAACTAATTTAATCGTAGAGTAGCCTAGTATTTACCTGTCCATATGGTGAAGGCCAGCCTGCTGTCTGTCCTGTGAGCTGGAAAATAAGCACAAAACAATCATGTAAACAACTGTGCACAAACAACCACAACAACAGTGAAAATGCAGAGCAATTAATCTAATAAGTACGTACGACCTTACGAAACAATCTCATTTCTGTATGAATAACACTAAAAAAAGACACATCCTATGATCCAACACCAGAGGCCTACAGGGCAAAGAAACACAAAAGAGAGTCATATGGATTTTTGTGTGTATTTTACAAATAAACAATTTTTTATAAATGAATCAGCTGTTAATGTTGCATCAACAGATATTTGAAGTTATACAGTTATACATCGATGTCAACTTTAATCTAAAAAAATGAATCATTTTATGATGTACTTGTGAATTAGATTCCTGTGAAAACTATATGTAGATAGTATATTCTTATATGTCCTTTTTAGTAACATTTTTAAATCTGTTATTCTTAGCTTGTACATAGAATAAGTTGTTTAAAATATATTGTTTCTCTGCCTCCTTTCCAAGGTCTGAATGGTAATCTGTCCAAGTGTTTTGTGTGTCCAGAACAGAAGGACCTTGATGAGCCGTTCACAGCCTTGCCAAAGTGAAGACTAATGCTGTTTTCTGTCTCTCTTTATAATTTACAACCAGGGAGATACGCCCAGCTCCAAAGAGACACCACAGATGACCTGCATGACCTGGACATCAACATGAGTACCACTTCAAGTGGCAAATTACAACAAATCTATAATAGAAGAATAGTAGTAGTAGTAGTAATAACTTATAAATTAAATAACATGTTGTGTCTGCTGCTATAAGCATTTATAAAAATAAAATAAACATTTTCATTCAAAACCAAGAGGAAAAAGGCAACAGCTTCATCATGCATAATATTATATATATTATTGCTTTAGAATTTTTTTCCGCATTTTATTGCTTATTTATTCTTTTTTTTTACTAACATTTCTATCAAGTCTGTATGAGTGGACATTTTCTGTTAGTATTGTAATACACACACTTAATATAAATGTTATACAATTTTATATATTATACAAATATATATTATACAAATTTATATATAAAAATAAAATAAAAATGTATTTATTGTATATTATATATATATATTATTATATCGTTCGATTATTTGCATTTTAATGTGCATCACCAGCAACAATTATTTTTTAGAAGAAAAAAAGTGAGAAGTAATGCAACCTCCAGCTCATAAACACTTGGTAATTGTAAAAAAAAAAAAAAAAAAGTTTATCAGGGTAATTAAAAATGATTAAATGTGATTCAACAGGATTGTGTTTAATCACATTTGAGAACCTTGAAACTGTTGTAACCTATATTAATTACTCTGTTATTCATGAAAAACATCAGGAAAGAATGATTCATGGGATTTTCTGGAGCACTTGTGAAGCACATTTCCTTAAAGTACTGCAGACAAAAACAACACAAGACCAATTTAATTACAAATGAAGGTACCTTTTATTGCAAACATTTGAGGACTTTGGCACCTGCAAGGCACAGAATACACTGTCATGAGTGAGCAAATGAGTCAAATGGGTCTGCAAAAGAACTGGGGAAAATAATTTTCACATAGGGAATTCCTTTCACAGAAAGGACAATGTCTAGCTGCAGACACAAAGGGTAAACAGTACATGGAGCCCATGTATGATCGGTTGCACGCAGAACTGATGCAAGTGTTCAGTCACCATGAACTTCAACAGCAACCAAAATTATTATAAGACGGCTTGGCCATTTCAAATTCTTTGCTGCTTTACAAAGGGGCAGAGAGTTGAATGTGAAGATGGGTGAGGCTCTCTATAGGTACTGCACTAATGTTCAGCAGAACGCACAAAGTCATGACACGAAGGCCCACATGCACATGAGCTTTTAAGTGCTGTTCATCCAAACCGCCCCCATGCAAAAAAAGAGGAGCTTTTAATTGGAAGTGGGTTTATCTGCACTGATTCTTCATCTTTAGTGTCTACCTTCCTTTGAATTGAGTGTCCATATACTCCCTTTTTTGTTTAAATGGAAGAATTGCATGTTACAACCTTTACATAAGGTTTCTAATACTGTCTCCCATTAACAGCTTAATACTGACAGGCAACACACCATTAAAACACACACACACATAGCAGTCTTTCTTTATAAAAATTACATAAAGAAATAAACTTCCAGTTTGACAAATAAACAAAATCATCAGATGCATAAAGAAAATGGGAAACTCTAAAGGAAAGTCTATGGAAGACTGATATTTCCCCCCTTGATCAGCAACAGTATCTGCTGTGTGCAAACGTCTCTAAATCAAGAGCCTCGACGGCCTGAAACCCCATCAGTCGTCCATCCTGCGGGGCGGCACACCCGGCACTGAGCCCTCTGATTATGATGCTCACATGATTCAGTTACCACAATCCCAAAAAGCTCATTAGGTTTAGCGTTATTCTTGGAGACAAGACTGGGGCGCTTCCTTGGAGACGAGGGTGGACGCAAACAGGAGTGCAGAAACTTTAGTTTTATGTTCTGAGAACCTGCATAGTGAATTCAAGGCACTGAAGGTTTACTTAGGGCAGCACGCGCACACACACACACTTTTGGATACGTTGGTAAGGCAGATTTTTCTAGATTTTAGTATTTTGGCATTAGGATATTGCAGATTCTCTTGCTTGTTTTGGATACACACGCACTAAATGACCTTAAAGGGATAGTTCACGTAAAAATTTATAATTCTGTCATTTAGTCATTCCAAGTCTGTATAATTTATTTTCTCTTCTGTGGGACACAAAAGGAGATGTTTAGCAGATTGTTCATGCTGCTCTTTTCCATATAATGAAATTAAATGGTAACCTGGGCTGTCAAACTTCTAAAAAAAAAAAAAAAAAAAAAAAAACAGACAAAAAGCAACAAAGGTAGCAACATCCATTCATAAAACTATTATATGTCTATAGAAGATCTGAAACATAGACCTTAGTCAGGGTAGATGCCATATTGAATTTAAATGAATAGTTCACCCAAAAATGAAAATTGTGTCATCATTTACAGTACTCACAAAATAATTTATTTATAATTTATATAATGCTGGCAACTAACAGTTTTGGTTCCCATTGCCTTATATTATATGGACAAAAAATACAATGGAAATCAATGGGAACCAAAACTGTTTGGTCATCAGTATTCTTCACAATATCTTCTTTTGTGTTCAGCAGAAGAAATAAATGCATACAAGTTTGGAACAACATTAACATGAGTAAATGACAACAGAATATTCCTTTTTGGATACACATGGTTGAAAACGAGGCTGTAGTGATAGACTTACAGTCTTCAAAACGGCACACACTGTATAAAGTTCTTAGATCACGTGGAATTCTTATAACTCTCAACTTTCAAAAGTTGTTGTCTTCTTAAAGTGTTTTGGATGTTATTAAATAAAGAGTACAGTCCATTGAACACACTGTACTTTTATCCCTTGCAACCTCGTTTTCATTCCTACCATCATGTCACTACCCTGACTAAGGTCTATAGCACAGAAGATTTACGACTTTTATGACACTTTTTTCCCATCTTTTTTTTATTTTATTTTTATTGTACCAGCATGGAAAAGTGCAACCAGCATGGTTATCAGAATTTCTCTTTTTGTGTTCCACAGAAGAAAGTAAGCTGGGCTTGTAACGACATGACAGTTAGTAAATAACAGAATTTCTCTTTTTTCCATTTACTATCCTTTTAATTTGTTCTGGGGCTCTTTTCAATACTCTCTGCCTTAAACCACGAACTCTGGTTCTGCTTCGGTGGTCAAGTGTTCTGTGGTCAGATCTTCTCTGTCCAGATCCAGAGAAAAATACTTGCTGGTTCTCTTGATGGGAAACGCATGCTGGTTATTCCGGATGCCTGCGCACTGATCTGCAAGTCCCTGGTACCCGCAGCCGACCGTGTCCCCGAGGTCTGGCTCACAGCCAAATGTATAGCTATGTGCAGTGTCCTGGCAAAGCTCCGCCCACTCCTGACAGTTCCTCTGGAACAGACGAACATCATCCAGTGACTGGCTGTGCCGGTCTGCGGAGCTCTGGCCCTTCCTGCCCATCGCCGTCTAATAAAACAAAGACAATAAAACGCACGTCAGCACTTAGGAAACTAACAAGCCGCATTAAAACACAGAAATCACAGACTACACTAACTCTCAACTAACCCTAAAATCTCAGAGAGCGGTTAGCTGTACACTCACATGAATTCACAGATGAGAAACGACAGTGCTGTTGGGTGTAGGGTAAGGCTGTCCTAAACAAATACTGTTAAGAGGAAGTGGGGTTACAAGCACTGTTAAAAGAGATTACAAGATTACTCAACAGAACGATGCAGCTCAAAATGCAGAGTGGATATCCTCGGTTTGACTTCAGTGGTTGAGACGGTGTCATTTAACAGCTGTAACGTGTTGTGTGTAAACGTGTGCGTGTATAGGTGCACCTGGGGAAGACATTCGATGCTCTGGCCCCTCATTCTCACGACGGTCTCTGATGAGCTGGATGTGGAAGAACTGACTTCCTTCACCACTAACCCTGAAATGCACAAACACACAGACAACACACATGTATCATTAACAATCATTTTCTCTTATCAGACATTTGAAGCTAACTAGGGTCAACGATTCAAAGTACTTGTCAGTTAAGACAAATGGATTCTCATACTTTTTTGTGACTTCCACGGCTTTTCCAGCCATCCATTATTACGGGATATGGATTTTTAAAAATCATTTTATAAAGCACCCAAAAAAAAGAGAACAAAATAGAAAGCTAAAAAACTGTATTTATTTGAAACCGAAATCTTAAGCAACATTATAAATGCCTCTACCGTCACTGTTGATCAATTTAATGCATCCTTGCTAGAAGTATTATTTAAAAAAAAATTTTTTTTAAAAGAACGGTAATTGTAATATTATTTCTAATAAAATATAATATAATATATGCTTGTACCAGAGCATCCGTTGTTCTGTGCTGACAGCATGTCCTCTGTGATGTGAATACACAGTTCCTGGTTTAGATCTAAATCGTGAAGATCTTCACAACTTTTCGGATCATCAACCAGCATCTCAATCTCTGAAGAAACACAAACACACAGAGCCTCTGAGCGCTGAAACTGCTACAGTACTAAGATTAGTACAAATGTATCAGTGCACCCATTTTATCATACAGCATTTATTATTGATACTGTTATTACTAATGTAATGAGTTACAAATATTGGCTGTCAGAAAAGTGTCATATTCATCTGTGTGTCTCCCCTACCATCTTCATCCAGGCAGTGCTCCTTGCTGCTGCTCTCGATGCCAGATGTGCGTGTGCTGGCATGACTGGTGTTGGAAGACGAGTGTGTTCTCAGCGGTCGGTGGGGTGTGTTGGTAGGTGTTCGGAAACTGTCAGTGTCGACGCCGGATGTGCGGGAGCTGCCATGACTCGTGGTGGAGTGTCGTGAAAAGGGATTGGGTCGTGACGTGCTGCCTGCACTGCTGCCGCTGGCACGTGAACGCTGCTCCAAATGATCCATGTCCGCCTCCAGAGCATCGCTGATATATGACTCCCTGTACTGCTTCTTTTCTGAGAACGCACACAGTTTAATAATGTCAACCATATGCTCTGGGTCCTTTGTAAAACAAAACAATAACACTTCCATGACAACACAACTAAAGAAAAAAAGAAAAGAAAATTGTATTCTGCTGAGTATGTCCATGTTTGTAAAGTCAGTTAATTGTTAATATTTTCAATCATGATTTATACACTGAAAAAACTGGTGTAGAAACCATTTTCGCTCAGAATTGCTAGTAATTTCACAAATAATTACAAAGAAATTGCAAGTAGCATTGAATTAAACATGAAATGTTGAGGTAGAAAGACTGAAATAGTATTTTCTTGTAAAATGAATTCCAATAATCGTTACAGTGTTGAAAAAATGAATTTTTACAGTGTATATGTTATTAAATTGTTATTTGTTAATTTTATCACCTTGCTTGTTTTAAAGGTCTATATCTGTCTATATATCACAGATTTAATTTACATTTCAATTACTAGTTTAAGAAATGTTCCCATTCCAGCAAATTTATTATGCATATTCTCAAGATACCTTCATTTTCTCTTATCCAACTGCAAAGTACAAAAACTTCTGACAGGATTCAAAATTCTCTCTGTGATTCTAGATATTTTTGGGACACAACATCTGCTTGCACAGACATGAAACACTAACAGACTGATATCTCTCTCTCTCTCTCTGCTTCTATCAGTGTCTGTGATATGACCACAGGCCTACAGAAACTGCTGAACTGACAAAGTGAGAAAGAAAATAACAGTAAAATATTACTATGACTTATGTCTTTGATCTCTTATCATAAATGAATTCCATCTCAAATGACAACAAATATGCCATATCCAATACACACATAAACAGCAAATGTTATCTCTCAAATATATTCCAGGTTATTTTCAACCTAATATTTATGCACCACAAGTGTGTACCATCCAAATGAATAAGTCAACACAGACAATTTCCTCAGTGTATATCAATTAACTTGAAATACTATTATTAAGTTGAAGTTGCATTTTTGAATGTAAGCTCAAAATATCATATGCAAGTTATACAAAACCTTAAACTTGTTAGCACTAATTACCACTTGAGTCACTTTCCCCCATCACATTCTGCTGCTACCTATACAATGGGCCAAAAATATACATTAAAAAAATGTCAGTTTACAATTGATTTTTGTTTTAGAAAAATGAAGTTAACCACACTACTTTAAACTATTTTCTTCAAAACTTATTTACTGCCATTTGGCGCCAACAATTGATGATAAAATATTCTTTGTGGTTTGTGGAACCGCCTATGCACTGCTGTCATTTTCTCAGCTCGCTTGACTGGTCTTTATTAAAGCTTGTTCTATTGTAACATTAATAGAAATAATTTCAGCAAGTATACATTGGAAAAATGTCAGGCAAAATGCAAAATGGAGTAGTGAGAAAACTTTGCATGAGCGAGAGACAGAGAGAAGAGGAAAATGTGCAGCAGTCAGGAGAATTCCACCCAACATCTGCTTCTCATTCCAACAATAGAGGCCTTTGATTCTCACACATACACACACACACACTCTGCTACACGTACTACAGATGTGTGACGTTCAGATGCATACATCAGATGACAATGACGTGGATTTTGGCTTTTCGTGTTATGGTTAGGAGTTCATAAGGGATTGACTAAGTTTTCTAGAAACATTGCCTACACTAGTTAAAAGGAAAGCAGGCAAACAGCCCCAAGGGGCTCAATAACAGCCCTAAAATTGTATAATCTATGACATGAATTATTAAAGTTAATTTTTGAAGCCATTTTAAGCTGGTACTGCGGAGCAGGATGAAAACAGAATGGAAGAGAGGATTGCATGAATCCACATTTGTAAGGATGTGTGACATTATGCGTGACGTTATTATATGTGGCATTTCTTTGCTGAAAAGAAGGAGAAACTTCCTGGATAATTTTTTAGATGAAAACAACCCACATGCATATAAAGTCCCAGCCACAGACAGTTATCATCTGCTACAGTATTAAGGCCTATGTTACGCCTGTCATCCATGTCATCCTGCTACCGCCTTGTTTTGCCTTCAGGGATCAAATCTTACCTTATCTGAAAAGACGACTGCTGAAGTGCTGGGGTTTAGTTTTTACGAGCCATCTTACATCATCCACTGCGCTTTTACCTCTCAGAATGGAAACATCTAAAACCCATGCAGACAGAAAAACCTTCCAGCAAAGTTAAAGAAAATGTGCCAAGGAAGTTCCAGTAAAAAAAAACTAGTAAGCAAACATGGAAGTATATGAGAGGTAAGGAAATGCCACTGATAGGTGGAATCCGCATGTCCAGACCTGCTCAGACACTGTTGGTCCACAGTTATTTAGTGTGATTGTAATCCCAGACACATTCCTCTTTTTACATGCACTGAACTGTTTCTTTATGCCGCAGCAGAAGATACAACTAGAGGAGTAGATCATCTGAACACATCTGTACACCTGTTATTAAATCCACTGTATTAAGTTCTTAATTCATTGAAAAAACCAGATACGTTCTCCTTACACAAAAGATACAGAAGAGCCTTTGGCAAAGGAGGGTTTAAAGTCCAAAATAAAAGAATGTAATAAAAGATTAAAAAAAGAGGAACCTGGAGTGTATAAAACGGGTGTAAACAGTTCAGCTGGAGGTCATTTGATACACTTATGTTTTCTGCCAGCTATGACACAGCGTATTACTAATAACAATAATATTGATAGTAGTGTTTTTTCCGGCAATATGTTTTATAATAATGCTTTTTCCTTTTTGTAAAAATTTCATTTAAGACAAATAAAAAGAAAGTAAACTGAACCAGAGGGAGACAAAATATTGTTTGAATTTTATAGGGATGGGTCATGATTTTTGAATATTCGATTAGTTGATTTAATTATAGAATATCGAACAGGTTGTGCGATTATTAGAGGTCGACCGATATGGGTTTTTCACTGGCCGATGCCGATATTTAAAAATCAAGGCAGCCGATGGCCGATATATGATGCCGATTTTTTTGCCCGATATGTTTGGCCAATTTTCTTTTTTTTTCCCCCCATTCATCTCATAAAAGTGAGTTTGAGCAAATGATTATTGCAGGGTACAAGATAGTATTAGTGGTAGTAGCCCAATTTAGAGTAATAATACATGGCTCAAAACTTAAGCACCTTCTCAAAACAGTTCTGAAGCATGCTTTTTGTTTGTTTGCTGACAGACACCAGTGTTTCCCACAGACTGCAAATTAATTATCTGCCAGCAGGAGGCGCTGTTGGAGCGGGAGATATAGCGGTTTGTCCGGTAACGGCTGTAATCAAACAAGCACTGCGCTCACAAACGCTACTTTATCAGGCATTACAGGAAAGACGAAATTAAAATGACATCGAAGCTTTTCTGAAGACAATCGGTTCTTTTCAAAGATACATTCATATAAAAACACCCGCGCTGCACTTTAATTTTGAAACATGCTAGCGCTCATTTTATTGAACGAAGTATAAGCCTTTTGGAAAATCTATTTGTGGCGGTCAGTTTTGATAAACACAAATAACTCAATGTATAGGAAACACTAGACACTGCTATAAGTCAAATGGCCATAGTGACAACAAAAATAAAAGATTTCACACATATTACACAGCCTTCTGCTCATAACTGCTTAAGAGTGTGCTGGCCACAAGCGATCCACAGATATATTCCATGAGGAAGAAACCTGTTAAACTGCATCCCCCATTTTGGGACTCACAGCTGAAAATGACCTACCTAACTTAAAATGGTAACAGTTCCTGACAACAGTGTGCTTTTGGTGTCTTAGGAAAGAAGACCCTTTGGGCTTTACTATCCAGTATTTACTATCCACTATTTTTCCGAGACTACGTCTAGTCCCCCGTTTGAGGAAAAATATTTACCAAATGTATTGAAGGGTTCTACAAAATATTTTAGTCATTAAAGGGATAGTTCACCCAAAAAATGAAAATTTTATGATTATCTGCTTACCCTCAGGGCATCCAAGATGTAGGTGACTTTGTTTCTTCAGTAGAACACAAACGAAGATTTTTAAGTCAAACTGTTGCAGTATGTCTGTCATATAATGCAAGTGGATGGGAACCACGGCTTTGAGTCAAAAAAAACATACACAAACAAAACCAAATTAAACCCTGCGGCTCGTGACGATACATTGATGTGTAAAGGCACAAAATGATCGCTCTGTGCAAGAAACTGAACAGTATTTATATCGTTTTTTACCTCTGATTTTCACCGCAATGTCCGAACTGTCCTGAGCGTGTTCAAAAGCCGGGGCCTTATGGGTCTTCTTCTTCTTCTTGCTTTACGGCAGATCACAGACTTATAAGTGCATTACCGCCACCTATCTCTCAAATGGACCATTGACACTCTCAATGGAGCCGCAGGGTTTAATTTGGTTTTGTTTGTGTATGTTTTTTTGACTTTTTGACTCTTGATTCCCATCTAATTGCATCAGGGCTCGACAGTGCGACCATTTCAGTGGCATTTGCAACTGAAAACTACAAAACTACTTGAAAAAAATATTTAGGAGCACCAGTGCGACTGACCCGATCAGCATATTTGCGTTTGCGCTCAGGGGAGCTTCAAAGGTTTCTACAACGTGTTTTTGCAGCGTTGAGTAATGTATCACATGCATATCTGTTGATTCCTTGAACGCAATGTTAATAAGAATCCAATCACCGCTCAAAACACTGAAGTTATGTTCAGTGCTGAGTAATGCAAGATCACGAATCCTCTGATTATAACAAACAAACTGTAGACACGATGTAAATAAAAGATTCATTCTGCAGTGTAGTCCAAGCGAGTTTAATTGATTGTAATGGAACTTTGTGAGATCGTTATGGTCAGTCACAGCTTTTAATAATTATTAAGGGTGTAAATGTGATATTGATTTAATACAACAGTTCAATAAACAATAGGCTAACATTAAGTGATTTACATTACCTGACTACAACACTATTGCCTGATTTTTCCTAATTTCCAAGCAAACACAGCTGTGTTTCATTTATGAATGAACATGCGTTTTTAAATGAATCTA